CAATAACGTACACAGGGAAAAAACCAACAACCTTTTAAATCATTTCTCTATTTTAGTATGACCAAAATGTAGACTTAGGACGTGTTTTATGAAAAAAAAACAACTAACAGCTTTTAGTGAAAGATAAAACACGTTTTATACATTTCACAATACCAGGCAGCGAGTTGGTCCAAAAAATAGCAAACCAAGACCAAATGTTTAACATGAAAAATGGCAAAGTATAAATCCCAAACTCCCAGTTGCAATATAATTTTAACGAAAAATATATAGAAATCTCTACACCCACTCCCTTCCTCTTGCTCATACATTAACATCATATGTGCTAGAGAGTGTAAAAAAAATATATATAAACAAATGCCACGATTTGTTAACAAGAAATAAAATCTAGTATGTTTTAAATATTATTATAAAAAACGAACTAAATACAAAGTAGCAAAAAAAATGTATAATGCTAAAATCACATTTGGTTGTACATATTTAAAGCGTGCATTTACATAATGAAAGATGTTTCAATGGACATGGTATATGAGTTGGAATAAACTGCAAAAGAGATGTAAAGAATAATATGTAGCAAGATCTGTGAATAAAATGTATATGAATATTTTTTTTAAACAAACAGGACATGCAGCAGGGTTAAGAAAAAGAGCAGTTTTCCTAGCTTTAAACTAATAATTTTAAAGATTTTCAAATATTTTCGAAAAAACGCCTTTTTATAAAATGATTTTTTATCATTAAAACTGTAAATGTTTGTTTTTTATTTGATAAGTTAATTAAAAACATATAAAAATCAAAATTTTTCAAATTTCGAAAAATCGCTTAAATATTTTCGAAAAATCGCTTATTTAAAATTTTGAAAATTTTTGCTAAAAACTTAAAATTTCAGTATTTTAAATTTCAAATTATTGTAAAACTTAAAAAAAACTAAATATTTTTCAATCCAAAAAATCGCTTAAACCTGTTCGCAAAAAAAACGCTTATTTGAAATTACTGATTTTAACTCACTAATATTGTAAATGTTAGATTTTTTATATTAAAAATGTATTGAAAACATTTAAAAATCAAATTTTTTTAATTTCAAGAAAATCGCTAAAATATTTTTAAAAAATCGCTTATTTAAAATTTAGAAAATTTTCGCTAAAACCATAAAATGTAAATATTTTTTAAATGTTTAATTGCTGTAAAACATTTAAAAAAACAAAATTTTCAAATTTTGAAAAATTTCCAATAAAGTTGAAAAAAACGCTTAAATTTAAAAAAATCATTAGATTTTGAAAACTTAAAAACTTTTTGATACAAAAATTCTAAAATTTGATGTAAATGATAAATTAAGTTTAAAACATGAAAAAATTACAATTTTATTAATATTCGAATTTTGAAAAATCTCCCATAAGTTAAAAAAAAAACGCTTAAATTTCGAAAAATCACTTGAACATGTTTAAAAAAATCGTTTATTTAAGAAATATTTTTTTTTTCGCTACTAACACTTATAAATCGTTTTTATATTATAAATTCATTGAAAATTTTGAATATCGAAAAATCGCTTAAACATTTTCGAAAAATCGCTTATATAAAATTAATGATATTTCTCGCTAGAATTATTAATAATTCTTTTTTATGTTATAAATTCCTTAAAAATCTAATAAAATGACATTTACGTCATTTCGAAAACTCGCTTAAAAATTTATAAAAAAAACGCTAATTTGAAATTTTTTAAATTCAAAAAAAAAATAAAATTTTGGTTATTTTCTATCCAAACTAATTAAAAATTTGGAAAAAAAAAATTTTTATATTTTGAAAAATCGCTTAAATATGTTCGAAAAATTGCTTAAACATGTTCGAAAAAGCGCTTATTTGAAACCAAAAAAGCATTAACACGTTTTTATGTTAAAAAATTCATTTAAAACTTGAGAAAACTCAAATTTTTATAATTTCGAAAAATCGCTTAAACGTAATCGAAAAAACGCTTATTTAAAATTTTGAAAATTTTTATTAAAAAAGTTAAATTTTTATATTTTAATGAACAAATGAAAATGAAAAACATGCGAAATAATCCAAAATTTTTCATATAAAACAATCTTGCCAATCTTCCAAAAAACGCTTAAATAAGATTTTTAGTTTATTTTACAGAAATAAACACAAATTTTGATTGTAAAGTTTTAATAAAATGTAATGATTTGTTTTATAAACTTCATCCTGCTATTTTTTTTATGTTTTGCTGTAGTTTCTCCCAAGCTTTTACAGCAAAACATATAAATAAAAATAGCAACTACAACAAGAAATTATAACATAAAATATTGAAACCAAAATGTAAGTATTTGTCTGTTATGCAAAAAAAAATCCAGGCGTAAGAGAAAAAAAAAAACCCTGGGAAGTTGTGTATCATCCATATGTACAACACCCACTCGGTGAAACTAAATGCATTTAGGTTTCAGCTTTTCGTGTTAAAATATTTTTTTTTCTACAGCTTCTTGTTCCTCTTTAGTTCTTGTGATTTCATACATTTCCTTTATGTCAACGATTATAATGTGTGTAATGTCCTTTTTTTTTTCTTCTCTCTAGCAAACTACACACCTCCCTGTCCTCTTTTTTATGCATATAATTTAAACAAATAAATTTCATAAGCATGCGTTTTTTCGTTAAATATTTAAGAAATTTTAGTAGATTTTTTTTGTTGGTTTGGAAATGTCCTTTTTTAGCCTTGCATTTTCACAAAAAAAAAATTTAAATTATTAGCTTTTTTTCTGGTAACAAAATATCTAGCAAAAAGTAAGGGTAGCTGTTAGTAGTAGCAACAACAAGCTTTATTTATATGTTGTATATCCTGCGGCAAATGCGCATAATGAGCGCGTATTATTTGCATATGCAGTTGTTTTAATATCCTTTTATTTTTTTCGCCTATTACTATATTAAGTTCTCTTTTTGTAGTGGGTGGGGTCTTTTTTTTAGTCTTTTTTTTTCTTGTTTCAAAAAGTGTCCCATGTCCTTTTACTCTTACTGCTTTAATAGATTTTTGCTTACTTTTACATTAAGTTCTTTTTTTTTTTGGTAATTTTTTCTTGTCATTTTTAAAACAATTTGTAAAAAACGTTAATGTTTCGGGTTTTTTTTAAGTTAAAATTTATTTGCTTGTAGTATGTGTGTATGTATGTATATTTTTTATTAAGCGTAAATCCTTTGCCGTTTAGATAATGATATGTGGTTATACAGTTGCTTTGTTAAAATTATTTTAAAATTTTCACTTTGAACTGAAGAAAAAAAAACAGAGTGGTTGGTAACTCCCTCTATTAGTAACATGTTGGGCGGAGTTATTAAAAGCATTTGGCTATAAATAAATTATATATTTCAAAGGACATTTTATTTTAATAAAATTACAGATGAATAGGTTAAGACTAGAGTTAAGACATAGTCTAGATTTTAGGTTAGACTATAGTCCAGGTTATAGTCTAAATTCTAGCCCAGACTATAGTTCACACTATAGTCAAGACTATAGTCTAAACAATACTCCAGACTTTAGTACAAACTATAGTGCAATCCATATCCCAAACTATAGTCCAGACTATAGCCCAAACTATAGTCTAGACTATAGTCCCAACTATAGTCCAGACTATAGTCCAAACTATAGTCAAGTCTATAGTCCAAACTATAGTCAAGTCTATAGTCCAAACTATAGTCCAAACCCTAGTCCAGACTATGCTTCAAACTATAATCCGGGCTATAATCTATACTATAGTTCAAACTATGGTTCAGATTATAATCCAATTATAGTCCAGACTATAGTTAAAACTATAGTCAAAACTATGGTCCAAACTATACTTCAGACTATAGTGCAAACTATACTCGACTATAGTCTATAATCCAGAGTATAACCAAATCTATAAATCAGACTATTATCCATAGCTCTAACTAGGGTTCAGATTATAGTACAATTATAGCCCAGACTATAGTCAAAACTATAGTCAAAACTATAGTCCAGACTGTAGTGCAAACTATAATATAGACTATAGTTTAAACTATAGTCCAGTCTATAATCCAGAGTATAACTAAAACTATAAATCAGACTATTATCCACACTATAATCTAGACTATATTCCAAACGTAGTCAAGACTTTACACCAAACTATTGTCCAGATTATATTCCAAACTATAGTCCAGACTATAATCTATACTATAGTTCAAACTATGGCTCAGATTATAGTCCAATTGTAGTTCAGACTATAGTCAAAACTATAATAGTCCAAACTATACTCCTGACTATAGTGCAAACTATACTCCAGACTGTAATGCAAACTACAGTCTAAACTATAGTTCAAAATACAGTTCACTTTATAACCCAGACTATATTCCAGACTATAGTCCAAACTATAATCCAGACTATATTCCAAACTATAGTCCAGACTATATTCCAAACTATAGTCTAGACTATATTCCAAACTATTGTGCAGACTATATTCCAAACTATAGTCAAGACTATAGTCCAAACTATAGTCAAGACTATAGTACAAAGTATAGTCCAAACTATAGTGCAATCTATAGTGCAATCTATAGTGTAACGATATCCCAAACTATAGTCCAGACTATAGTCCAAACTATAGTCCAAACTATAGTCAAGTCTATAGTCCAAACTACAGTGCAAACCATATCCCAAACTATAGTCCAGACTATATTCCAAACCATAGTCCAGACTATATTCCAAACTATTGTCCAGACTATAATCTATATTATAGTTCAGACTATAATCTAGACTGTTTAGACTATAGTCCAGACGATACTATTATAGCTCGGACTATAGTTTAGTTAATTTCAGACTATAGTCCAGATTATGGTCCAAACTATGATAAAATGAATTTTCTATTATTTTCCAAAACATTTAACTTGTTTGCTTTCTATTTCCAACGACTTTTAGTTAAGTCTTTACCAAAATCCTTTACATATTTTAGAAAATTTTATTTTAATTCTGCAAATATTTTGTAAATTTTATTATGTTTATTTCTATTCCACAGAGCCTCTAATTTAGATGGTCATTTCTTTACAAATAATCCACATTTGGAATTAAGACAACTGCGCTGGCATCCAGCCTCACCCACAGATTCACATTTGCTGGTGTTGTTAAGCGACAATACTATAAGGTAAAAGCAACAAATATAAATTGGGATTAACTAACAACTAATTTATAAACTAAAATTTTCTACTAAATACCTTAACACGGTTTTAAAATTTTCATTTTTATTTTGTCTTTCTAAAAGGGTTTATGATAATGCTTCCTTACGGCATGTTTGGCAAGTGGGTCCTATACCTTTAAAAACCGATGGTAATCCTAACTCCTCAACGGTTTATGCTTTAGGCGAGGCAGCAGTAGATTTTGATATTGCACCTGCTGTTAATGTGGCCGAAATGCAAACAACTAACATGAATAACACTTTAAGCAGTAATGCCACCTTAAGGGAACAGAAAAGTCTAATGAATAGCACACGTTTAAGTCAGGTTAGCAATAGAACGGTGACAGCAACAGCCACCAGCAATGAGACTATTAAGGTAAGTTAAAAAAACAAAAATAAATCAATTGTTTAGAAGAAATTATAACAAATTTTAATTTTATTTTTTAGAATCCTTCTGCCAAAGCTGAAAAAATTGAATGGCCCATTGTTATATTGCGTGAAAATGGCAATATTTATGTGCTAATGTCGGGTTTGGATACGGACAGGTAGGTTGTAAATAGCAAAGTTTCTAAGCCAAACTAAATTAAACGTTTAGTGCAGAATTTTACTTATTCTTTTCAATCTTTAATCTTAGACCCCGTTTACAAGGCCCTTTAACTATCACCCCCTCTACTGTGGATAATTATGGTGTAGATTCTTGTTCCATATTGGTCATACCTTCATTGCCTCCTACTTTAGTTATAGCAGAAACTAATGGCAAGTTACATCATGCTTTGTTTATGGAGGCAGAAAATGCTGAAGATGTAAGTAGTTTTTCTTTTTTAATAATAGAATCTTAATTTCTTATTTGTTTTCTATTTAGTCCTTTAATGAAGTCGATGAAAACTTAATAATACATCCCTCCGAATGGACGGTACATGTTTTGGAAACTGTTGAATTGGAATTGGGTTTACCCAAGGAGGAATTACATCAACCCTACTATTGTCCCATACATTTGAAAAGGTAAGGATTAAAAACAAAAACATATATAATTTGTAATTATGTTTAAAAATAATTTTTGCTTTCATTTCTTTTATTCCAGAGACTTTATCAATGAGTTGCGTTACTTTGCTTATCACAATACTGGTCTGCATGTCATTACCGTCAATTTTATTGCAGAATTACAAAGATATTTGGAAAATGAAGGTAAGAAATAGGATTATACTATACACTATAATCCATAATAGAATATAGACTATAGTCCAAACTAAATCCCACAGTATAGACTAGACTATAGTCCTGACTAAGGTACAGATTGTAGATCAGACTATAGTCCAAACTATAGACAAGACAATAGTCCGAACTATAGCAAAGACAATAGTGCAAACTATAGTCCAAACTATAATCTTGACTATAGTCCAGACTATAGTTTAGACTATAGTTTAGAATATAGTCCAGACTATATACTAGATTAAAGTCCAGACTATAGACCAGACTATAGTCCAGACTATGGACCAGACTATAGTCCAGACTATAGACCAGATTATAAACCTGACTATAGACCTGACTATAGACCAGACTATAGATCAGACTATAGACCAGACTATATACCAGACTATAGACCAGACTAAAGTCCAGACTATATACCAGATTATAGTCCAGACTATAGACTAGACTATAATCCAGGCTATAGTCCCAGTTATAATCCAGACTATAGACTAGACTACAGTCCAGACTATAGTTCAGACTATAACCAGACTATAGTCCAGACTATAGACGAGACTATAGACCAGACTATAGACCTGACTATAAACCAGACTATAGACCAGACTATAGACCAGACTATAGTCCAGACTATAGACCTGACTATAGACAAGACCCTAGTCCAGACTATAGACCAAACTATAGTTCAGACTATAGTCCAGAATATAGTCCAGACTATAGATCAGACTATAGTCCAGACTATATACCAGACTATAGTCCAGACTATAGACCTGACTATAGACCAGACTATAGCCCAGACTGTAGACTTGACTATAGACATGACTCTAGTCCAGACTATAGACCAAACTATAGTTCAGACTATAGACTGGACTATAGAATTGTCTATAGACTAGACTATAGACCAGACTGTAGTCCAGACTAAAGACCAGACTATAGTCCAGACTATAGAGCAGACTATAGTCCAGACTATAGGTCACACTATAATCTAGACTATACTATAGACCAGACCGTAGCCCAGACTATAGACCAGAATATAGTCAGACCAATGTCCAATCTATAATCGAGACTATAGAATTTTATGAATTTAAAATTTTAATCTCCTATACAGTCAATTCCGATATCAATACTCTCTCCACTCCCTCCCACGCTGAGTATATTGTCTGTACTAAGATCGACACCAGTGAGAATGTAAATGCTGTCCTAGGATTTGTACTCATGCAAATGCCCTCCTGTGCCGTACTACTCCTAAGCAGTGGCCAAGTTATTAGCTTAAAACTAGTCATAGATCCCAAATTATTAACAGATCCTCTAACAAACGTCAAAGATGAGTTAACCCTAAACAAAAATGATGACTTACAACAAACCCAATTAAATCAAATATTGGGTCCTTCTTTCGTAGATCATGTTAAGAACATATTAAAACGTACAGTAACACAACCCATTTTGTCGCTGGATAAATCGGCCAATCCTACTCCCCAAGAGTGTTATGAGTTAATGACACAAGCTGTAGAGGTTTTGAGAACACAGTATTTGAAACGTCATGAATTGGTAAGAGCTGAATTTGCACGACGTATTCATACCATAAAATTGTGTAAGGAACAGCAAAAACAGGATATAGAAGATTTGGAGCGCGAGCGTGAAATTATTAGGGATAAGGCTCATAAGTTGGCGGAAAGATTTGAGGAGATCAGTGATCAACAGGAGGTGTTGACAAAGCGGTAAGTGTTAATTTATTGTTTTTGCAAATTCTATTTTTTTTTATGTCATTACTTTGAATTTTTAGTTGCCAAGATCTTATGCGCCAGGCCAATACCTGTTTGCCCAGCAATACTTTGGCTGAAAAAGAATTTGCCCAGGAGGTGGAAAGAATTAATAAATTAACCAAAAATATGGTCAACGCTTTGCAAAAATCCAAAGAAGCCATTAATAAACAGCTATATCATGTAAGTTTTTTTTTTTAATCTTAAAAGATGTTTAGTTTATTTGTTTTACTAACATCTTTCACAGATTTCTAAGTATCAGGAGAATTCCAAAAAGAAAACCTTTGAATTGCCTGAAACACAGGAACGCACCATCAAGGAAATTATATTGCAAATGTAAGTTGAAAGTATCTCTTTTTTCATTTTCACATTTTTCATTAAACCAAGCGGTGATATTGGGCATTTTTTAAAGGTATTTAGTGAAGACACTTTTTAAAAGGTTGTTGTCTTGATTTGTTTAGCAAATCTTTTCACCTGTTGAATTACTCACCATATAAGTATTAGAAGTGTTGTATTCATTTAGAAACTCTTATATATTAAGTCAGTTTGCAAACCTTTCATTTACAAAATAGTGCAGGCAACGTTCTTTAGTTTGGTGAGCAAGTATAACAGTTTTTACTTTAGTTTTATAATGCTTTTAACTGTTATAAAGCTATCTCTAATGTTTTCTTTTTGTTAAAGGTAATTGTCTACGATATTTTTTTAGGAAAATAGTGTAGCTGTACTAAAACTTTTGGACCAAATATTGTTTTATAATGAATCAGAGTTGTGTTTGATGAGGATTCTTTCTGTAGGAAAAGTTAAAAAAAATAGTTAAAGTTTTAAATTTCTAGCAATTTCTTTAAGATGTGGTTGTAAAACTGTATTTAGTTTGGTCCTAGCGTCTCTAGTTTCCTCAGAAAATATACTTCTTTAGTATCACTCCAAAATCCTTTTTTTCGTGGGATATAAAGTGATTACTGATGTAAGTTCTTTGTTTCCTAGAGCCTCTGGTTTCTCGGAAAACTGGACTTTTACATTTACATTGACGGTTTTGGAATAGCTTTCTGAATGTCTCTTTGTAACCTATGAAGTAACGATTGACATGCTTGTAGGATAAACCAGTGGCTAGGGGTAACCCAAAGTGGAACTGCTGGGTTTTATAAAGATTAAAAATAGTTTCCAATCTATTAGGACTTGTTTTGAAAAGTGTATGAGAGTGGTAGTTCGTGACTGCCGCGCTGAACTGCTGGGTTTTAAAAGATTAAGAAAAGTTTCGAATCTATTAGGACTTGTTTTGAAAAGTGTATGAGAGTTCATCGTTTTTGTTGTAAAACTTGTATGAACAGGTTCTGTTTAGAGGATACCAAAATTTTAGCCAATTAAAGCCGATTGTATGCATTCCCATAAAATCATCAAATCGTCTTTTCCATTTGTGTGTTAATCTTCAACATTTTTCTCTTATTTTCTCTCCCCTATTCGTTTCTCTATCTCTTTACAGGACCGCCGAAATTGATGGTCAAATAAAGGAAGTAAAACGTATAAATAAAATAGTAGGTATTTAAATAAAAAAAAACACTACAACGTTTTACTTTTACAAAAATTTACTTTCTTTTTTTTTATTCTTTTGCTTAAAATTAATAAAAAAAAATAATAATAAAAATAAAAAAAAAATACAAATCTATAAGTATGTTTTACATTACAATTACATTATTAGTACGTTTTCTTTTCCTCTTCTTTTTCGCCTTCTTACGCAGTGTATTATATTTTTTAATTTGTTTAACAATAAACGCCTTAATATCATGACCATCGTATTTACGCCATGACAATGTTATTAGAATTAAAGAATTAACATAGAAAAATAATCTTAAATATAAATTTTCATTATTGACTTTATCATCGTTGCTCCAAAAATGTTCACGGAAATTTTCGTAGACAGCATTCATGCATAAATAAGTTAAGATGGCTAAACAGCGTTGGATATCCTGCCAAGAGCCACGGGCTAACATTAACATAATAGCCTCGTGGGCATAATCGGCAAGTCAATGATCAATTAGCGGACCCCAAAACATTTTGGAAATTTTTGATTCATCTTCAGTCAAAAAGAATTGACGTCCCAAGTGTACAAACTCTTTGAGTGACACCTGACCGTCACCGTTAATATCTATCACAGCAAATGAAATGGCAGCATCCTCATCGGAGAGGCCCAAGCAACGGAAGAATAGCTTATATTGATCTAAATCTAAATGACCGGTATGGTCATAATCAACAGCCTGCAAATTTAGGAAAATAAAGTTAAAATTTGTTTCCTTTTAGGCAAACAGTTTAAAGAACTTACCTTGAACAAATAGGGCAAGAATCTACCCACTCTTTTGAACATTTTCTCATCATTTAAACGATGATGTAGATCTGTTAAAAATTGTTCAGCTGTTACTAGATTATAGGGTGTTATTTCACCAAATTGCTCTTCCCAGGTTTGTTTCATAACATCCAAGAATTCTGCTGATAATTCTGGTGTCAAATGTCCCAAGTCGGAGAAACGTTTGTGCAATAAAGTAAAATCATCGAATGAGATCACACCATCACGATTAACATCTAAAATACGATGTAAAGTACGCATTTTACGGCGCCAAAATTCAGAATCACCCTGCGAATATAAGATAATAGAGAAAAGTTAGTGTTATTTTCAAGTTTTTTCTGCAAGAATCTTAAATCTAAAGAAAATTGGTTTTAGATTCCTTAACTCTTAGTTCTTATTAAAAGTTAAATTTGCTTTAAATTGTAAACTTGTTTCCTGAACTCCCAGTTTTAATTAAAAATTTACTTTAAATTTCCGTAATACTTAGGAGTTTGTTCAGTTCAGCAATTATAAATTAGATTTCTGAACTCCCATTTTTTTATTAATTTTCATTAAATTGATTCCTGGACTACTAGTTTTTATTAAAAGTTTACTTTGCTCTAAATTTATGCAATATTTAGAATTTTGTTCAGTTATTATCAAGGCATTTGTAAAATTGATTCCTGAACTCCCAATTATTGTTAATTTTCATCAAATTTCTTAACTAATTTTTGTGTTTTTGATTCCTGAACTCCCAGTTTAATTTGCTTTTAATTTTAGAAAGTTTGTTAGTATTTTATTATTAAAATTTATTCCTGAACTCCCAGTTATTGTTAATTTTCATCAAATTTCTTCTTAACTACTTTCTGTGTTTTTGCTTCAAATTTTAGAAAGTTTGAGAGTATTTTATTATGAAAATTGATTCCTGAACTCCCAGTTATTGTTAATTTTTAACAAATTTCTTAACTATTTTTTGTGTTTTTGCTTCAAATTTCAAAAATACTTAGGCGCAGTTAAAGGTTTTTCATAAAAACAGTTGCAGCATTGTGTTTGGATTTCTGAACTCCCACTTTTTCAAAGAAACATTTCTTAAATTTTATTTTTGTATCAAATTATTAACAAAATCGAGTATTTAATCCATTTATTAAAGAAGAAGTTCCCTTAACAAATCGAAAAACTAAACTTTTGATTCCTGAACTCCCATTTTTCTTAACAAAAACCTTTATATGTAAAATTCTGAAATATTTAGGGATGCGTTCTGTTACAAATTTGATTTCTAATTTCCTATTTTATATATTTGCAAAAAATATATTAAATATTTCGCTTTTTGTTTTCTGAACTCCCAGTTTTCTATACTACAGTTTGAAGAATTATTTTTAGTTTTGTAATTTTAGAGAAATTTTAAAATAACCAATTGCAAAAATCTGTTCTAGATTTCTGGGCTCCTAATCTTCAGTATTTCATTAAAAAAAAATGTTAAAATTTACATTTTTTTTTTTTTGAATGTGAAACATTTTCGTTTTATTTGTTAAATAATAATTTAAATGCTAATTTCTTTTAATTAATGCACTGAATGTTTATTAGCCAAACAAGTTTTAAAAAACTTTGTAAACAATTTAATGCAAAAAAAAAGAAACTGTTTCTTTTTCAATTAAGCCAAAAAATTCTAAAAATTTCTAAAAACAGAAATGTTTGTTTTTAAACAAACAACACAAAATAGTTTATTATTTTGGGAGACATTAGCGAGTCTAGAATAATAATGAAGTTAATTAAAATGCCAAACATTTATGGTTTATTATGTATTGTTGTGTTGGCCAAGATTTTTAATGAACACGTCTCAGACACGCGTAACGCTCTACGATGTTTTTAACAAATTAAAATTTGGATTTCATGTTTTTGATTTAGGTTCCTTTTGTTAATTATTTTCAATTTTATGTCATTTTAAAAGTTTTGTAAGATTTTGTAATGAAAAACTTACCTTTTGGCTGTATTTCTGTTTTAAATTTTGTCTTTTGCGCTCATATTCATCATCTGAATCGGAATCACTTTCAATATCTTCCTGTTGCCGGGATAAGTTTTGTAATTTCTTATTATAAATTTTATTGGCTTGGCCAGCTTGATTTTTGGTTGGATGATTAGTTTGTAAAGCTGAAGATGTTGAAGATATAAGACGGCTATGTGTAGAGTTCTGTTTATTGAAAAAATAGAAAAAAAAAAAATAAAAAGAAAAAAGTTAATTAAAGTTATATAAACAAATCAATCAAAAAGTATAAAAAAAAATAAAAGTTAATTAAAGTTAAATAAACAAAATTTGTAATGTAAATCTCTATTATAATTAAGCTAAAGTTTGAACTGAAATGTATGTCATTTTAAATAAACAATCATAGATGGTGTTTTAAAAACCTAAACATATTTATTTGTTTATTTTATAACACATATTTTGTTATTGTTTGATGTTGTAATATTTTGTAAATTTGTAAATATTTATTTAACCAAAATGTGTTTGTCATAATAAGTTTGTTAATATTTACTAAACAACCTTTTATTTATTAAAAAATCAAATATCAATATCATTAACAAGATCATCATTTACTCAATACCTCCCTATAATAAAATGAGTAAACAAATTTAAGAAAAAGAGTTTCCTAACCTTAAGTCTAACATGCTAAGAAACACGATCTATAGATTGTGTTTTTATTTTGAAGCTAATGAACATTAAAAGGAAATTAAAACAGAGTTCCGCAAGATAATAAGATAAAACAATATTGAAAAATATTCAAGGTTTTGTATTCAATACGAAAAAAAAAAATCATTCTAAAAACTACAAGAAAAGTGTTATTAAAAACAAAAACAACAATTTTAAAGATGTTTTAATTATAAGGCTTAACTAAAGCAAAATAATTTTGAAAAACATCATTAATTAATGAAAAGATAGCAATTCAAAAGTTTACACCTTTCGCATAAGTTTCATTGAGTAGCTAAAATTGCTATAATGCTAATTTTCCTCTAATATTTTTTCTTTAAAATCAAGTTTTAAATACAAACAGGTATTTGTTTCTTAATATTAGTAGGTTATTTAAGTTCTTCTTTAAATTATCTTGTTAGTATATTTATGTATATTTTTTATAACATTTGTCTGTTTGTTTTTGTTCTTCAATTTGAAATGGAGTTCAAAGTCTTGACTTTTTATTTCAATTCTACTTTAATTTCATATTCTCCCCTTTGTGTGTTTGTTGTTGGATATTATAAACTTGTGTTTGGCAAAATTTAATGCAAATTATAATTTTTATATAAAAATTTATTTCTTTACTTATTGTTGTTGTAATTTATTAAAAACAGTTTTTTTCAAAGACTGCACGTTTTTGTTTATAATTTAATTATGGTTTTATTCAAAATTAAAAAATTTTATAAAAAAAGTCTGTCTTTATGCCTAAAACTTGTTTGTAAACAAAACACCAACAATATTTAAAGCGTGTTTTAAATTTATATTATAAAACTAAATCATAACAACAAAACTAAAAAGTCTAACCTTATCAAAAATAATTAACTAAAGAGAAGTGTTATACTAGAGCCCATATTTTAACATAAATTAAACACATTGCGTTCCACTACAAAACAAAAACACAGACTTTCTTAACCGGCCTTTTTATATAAATGGCACGAAAAATAAACTGCGCATTAAATTTTAATACAAGAAGGAGTCCATGTGTATTTTAAAAGATTAAAAAGGTTTTGTTGTGATTAAATAAATAGCAGCTTGAAGAAATGTTTAAGCCTACAGTTTTTTTTTTTGGAAAATTTATTCCCATGTGGGACTCGAACTCGAGAGCTTGAAGTATACTATAAATTAATAATGAATAATTTTATCAATCTTTAAAAAACCTTAAACTTCTCTTTACAGTTTCATGCTAAAAGTTATAATTTTCCCAGTATTTCCTTAATTTTTATAGAATTTTCCATGTAAATTTTTGGAAAATTAAACTAAAAGTAACAATTTTTATTTAAAACAGTTGCATTTGCTTTTATTATTGATTTTTTTATAAAATAATTAATAAATCTGCTTGTTTTTTTTTTTAATTCAAACTTTTTCCCACTATTTCTAAAATTTTAAACAATTTTTAAAACTAATTTTTAAAAACAAAATATTTAAATACTTTTTAAACAAAATAAAAAATTTTTATACATAAAAGTTTATTTTGCTTTTTTATTAAAATTTTTAAAACATTTTTAAACTTTTTGCCACTATTTTTTAAATTTTGAAATTTTTGATAAAAAGCTAATATTTTTATATTTTTCTAAATAGTCCTTGTATATTGACTCTTCTTCTTTTGAAATTTTTAATAATTTTAGATTTTGAAACATTTAAAAAAGTTTTTTTTTTAAATTTTCTCAATATTTTCTTAAAATTTTCGATGTAAACATTAAAAATTAAAGAAAAATCGTTTAAAATTTTTTGAAAGATTATATCAGTTGTCTTTAAATATTAAAAATATTAAGATATTTCTATTTATTTAGAATTTTCTTCAAAAACTTTAAACTTTTTTCCCCCTATTTTTTTAATATTGAGATAATTTTAGATAAAAACTAAATATTTTTATGTTTTTTTAAAGAACTCAATTATTGTCTCTATTCTTTAGAAATTTTGTAATATTTTTGATATTGAAACTTTTAAGAAAGTTTTTTTTTAAATTTTCCCACTATTTTCTTAATTTTAATAAAATTTTAAATTTTAAAGTCATGAATTAATGGGAATATTTTTGAAATAGCAGAAAAATTATTGCAATTGTCTTTAAATGCGGAAAATACTAAAATATTTCTGTTTATTCAGAATTTTCTACAATAATTTTAAACTTTTTCCCACTATTTTTTTAATTTTTAATAAATTTTTTTAATAAATAACAAATTCTAAAAGTTTTTGTAGCTAAAGTTGTAGCTTTAACTTTATTTTTCTAGAAAATTTAAAATTTTTTAATATTTGAAACATTAGGAAAAGTAGTTTTTCCCACTATTTTCTTGATTTTAATCAAATTTTTGGTGTAAATAAGAAAAATTATACAAAAAACTTCCTTATTAATGTAAATAAAAATAGTTGCTGTTATTTCGATTTAGGTTTGAAGAAAATTATTTCAAAATAATGTTTTATTAAAATTTTGATCTTGAAATTAAGAAATACCAGTATTTTTTGTATTATTTCTAAGTTAAAGAAAAATAAATAAAATTTAAACAATAATTTATCAAAATCAAAAAAAAATATCAAAAAACATACAAAATTAAACCAGTATTAAATTTAACACTGACCCCCTTTAAAATTAACATATTTTCTTATGCAATATCGACAAATTTTTAAAGTTTAAAGTTCTAAATGCTACCAAAAAGAAATAAATAAATTGAAGGTAAACAAAATGGAAAGAAATAATAAAAACAAATACCGGTAATTATTTTAACAAAACAATAATTTTGAATATTAATTTTAATCTTTTAAAACCAAACAGTAAATAATAATAAAATTTTGAAAACAAGAGGTTATCATTATAAAGGAAAAAGGCTAGCTTGCTTTAGCGATTAAATTAATTGAGGTCAATTTTGCTAAATAAATCATAAATATTAACCTAGGTTGGAAAATAGATTCAAACAGAACTATTTTATTTAAATTCAACACAAAATTGTAAGTATTTCTGTAATTTATGTGAATATAACAAAAACAAAAAACTTACTTTAACATCAATATCCACATAACCATTAAGAATCGTAACAGCACCGACAGCCATATTGCGTTCCAATAGCTCTCTGGAAGTACGCAATAAACCACGACTGATCAGTGAAAATGCCATGATGAAGTATTAATTTTTAAAAAGGACCAAGTAAGTAATAACACAAAACAACAATTTAAGGTGGGGTCAATTTGTTTTTTTTTTTTTTAATAAAATTTCAATTTTTCTTTTTTTAATTTTAAAACACGTTAATAATAAAGAAAAGTCTAATATTTATCTTTTCAGCACTTTCTCTTTTTTGTTTTTACTGTTAAATTAACACTCTCTTTTTTAGGAGTTTTTTCTGTTATATGCTTTGATCTACAGGATTTGTTTTATTTTGTTTTTGTCTATTCTGTCTCTTTATTTCTTTGGAATTGTTTTTAATACGAAGAGAGGGTGATATTTTTTATTATTATTTATTTCCAGCGTTACACGTCTGTTTGCTACAACGTTCGAAATTGTTTTGATTCTGAGGTTGTAACTTTGTATACCATGAAAACATATTGAGCATTTAAAGCTGAGCGTCCTCAACATATAAAACAACAATAAAAAACTGTATATTAAAAGCTGCAGCAGCAGAGGCTAAAGCATATACAAACAGTCCCAGTACATATAACATACAAACAATCATACATAAAAGTAAATACACTGGCGCACACACAGGCATACGTGCCGTATAAACAATACCCGTTGTATTGTGTATTTTTCAGATCACAACAAGTTGAATGATAAATATGAAAACCAAAAAAAAAAAATGTAAATTCAAAACAAAAACCGGCAACACAAAAACAACAAAGAAGAGCTGCAGAGTATAAAGAAATGTAAAATTGAAAGAAACAGACAGACTGATGGCATTAAAGAGAAAAACAAACAAAACAGAGACCAATTTACATTGTAAAACCAGTGATATACACATGTACATATGTAACTCGAAAGCAGACAAAGTGGTAGTGAGTGATGTCAATATAAGGTGAGTGATAAAACGTTTTTTATTTTTGTTAGCAAAGACATATTTTGAAAGACTATATCGAATAGGTACATATATCTAAACTTTTATAAAATTTGGCGTAAATACAGAACAGAGATTAAACTTTTATATATTCCACACTATAAACTTGTATATAGACCAGACTATGCTATAGTCCAGACAATAGACTGCACTATAGTCCAGACTATAGACTGCACTATAGTCCAGACTATAGACTGCACTATAGTCCAGACTATAGACTGCACTATAGTCCAGACTATAGACTGTAGTTTAGTCCAGACTATAGACTGCACTATAGTCCAGACTATAGACTACAATATAGTCCAGACTATAGACTGTACTATATTCCAGACTATAGACCAGACTGGACTATAGTCCAGACTGTAGACTAGACTATATACTAGACTATAGTCCAGACAATATATTAACAGTATAGACTAGACTATAGTATAAACTATAGACTATTAAACTATATTCAGACAATAATCTAGAATGTACTTCAGATAATAGAATGCACCTATAGTCCATACTATAGACTGCACTGTAGTCCAGACTATAGACTGCACTATAGTCCAGACTATAGACTGCACTATAGTCCAGACTATAGACTGCACTATAGTCCAGACTATAGACTGCACTATAGTCCAGACTATAGAGTGCACTGTAGTCCAGACTATAGACTGCACTATAGTCCAGACTATAGACTACACTATAGTCCAGACTATAGACTGCACTATAGTCCAGGCTATAGACCAGAATGGACTATAGTCCAGACTGTAGACTAGTCTATATACTAGACTTTAGTCTATACTATATACTAGACTATAGTCCAGACAATATAATAAACTATTGTCCAGACAATATATTTACAGTATAGACTAGACTATAAACTATAGACTAGACTGTAATCCAGACTATAGTCCAGTCTACAGTTCCGGCTATAGAATAGTCAATACTATAGTCCAGACAATAGACTAGCCTATAACCGAGCCTATAGTTTAGACTATAGACCAGCCTATATGCTGGCTTTAGTCTAAAGTTTAGACTCTAAACTATATATAGTCATTAGACCAGACTATAGTATAGTCTAGTCTATAAACTATTAGAAAAAAACTAATTTTTTAGTGATTTTTAGACCAAAAAACGCTTACTTGTCATTATCACTATGTTGTTTTTATTAAGTATTATAGAGTTTTATTTATTTCTTGTTAAATATCTTAAAAATATTGTTGAAAATGTCATAAAATATGGGTCACATTTCATTAATATGATGTAAACTAAGGGGGGTGGGAAAGAAATTTAGTAAATATTTATAAATTTCATCAAATATTACAAGAAATATAACACATGTTTTGTAAAATCACTATCTCTTTTAGATGTTCTCTTTTTAAATGTATCTCTCTCTTTTTTAAGAATTTTCCTTTTGTTACCATTTTACAACAACTGGAAATTCTAGTACATACTAAAAAAGTTCATACTAGAAAAAGTTGTATTAGAAGAGGTGGAAAAAACTTGTTATTACGTAATTTTATTGTTATAGATATGTTTTTCTTGTTATAAATGTTTTGTCGTTTCTTTTTAAAATTTATGGCTGCTAAAAGTATGCATTTTTCGCTTTTTAGATTTTATTGGAAGTTTCTTTTTCAGTAAGGTGATGTTGTTATTGTTGTAATTGTAATTTTGTTCATGTTTATGATTATATTTGTTAATTTTGTTGGTTTTTAATTTGGCTTCATATGAATGCATTTTTTGTTAGCTTATTTGGTTTTTCTTTCTGTTCAAAGAGAGAAAGAGTGTGAAAGAGAGAGAGCGCGTTAGAGTCAATAAACTCGTTAAAGTGTTGATTGCATGCATTTTAATTAGGGTATTAGTTCAAATAACGATTTCTTTATTTTTTTTTTTAATTTTCTTTATATTCTATTTAATTCAGGCTTAAAAATAAACTGGTTAAAGAGATAACAATGACTTTCGAAGTTATTGTGACAATTCAGAAAAATCATAACAAATCAGAGATTTGTATTTTCCCAGAATTTCTGTATTATTGTCAACAGGTCTATCATGTAAGTTATTATTTACAATATATACCTGCATTCAAAATCCTTAAGAAATTCCATGTTACAACATTTATGTCTTAACATTAGCAAACATCTAAAACTCAAATCACGTGACTCACTCATGTCACATTTTTACTAAAATTTAAACTCCCTGCTATAAAAAAATAATAACAAACAACTCCCATTTGCTAAATGTTTAAATACATACAGCATAAAACATATTTTCATAAATTTACAACGCAATTTCTTCTATATTTTATAAGGGTTAGTTTTGCATGTTTGGAAAAATGTCTGGAGACACTAGACTACAAACATATTTAGGGGTGTACGTGCTAAAATCAACGAATTTCTCACAAACTATGACTATTTTTCGCCATATAGCTAGTATTTATTTAATAAGAAATAATAATAAAAACATATTTGAACTCATTTCTAGCTAACTATTTAATAAAATAATGTTCTGAGATTATCTTTTATTATTATTTTGGACACTCATATGAAAAAAAATTCAATTTGTTCATTTAAAAGAATCAACATTTTTTGTTCTTATCAGTTATATAAAATTGTAATGGAGATAAATACTTTTGAAATGATTTAAAATTCTTTCCACATACATACATAATTATTTTTTCATAATTCTGACATAATTTGTTTAGATTTGTTGATTTATTTTTGAGGTTTAGCTTTATTTATTTAAGATTTCAAAAAATCAACAAGATTTTTATCAGTTTTTGAAAAAAAGTATTAGATTACAAGTGGAATATTATGTTTTTTCAATTAACGACATGTAATGTTTGTGTAATCGGGCCTTTATTTTTAGAGGGAGTGATTTCACATAAGATTTAAGAATGTGTTGATAGATTTTAAGGTGCTTTCAATTTCTATACAAAACCTTTCAAAAATGCGTAATTTCTAAAGAAAATATTCTCAGAAATTGAGACTAACTTCTACAGAAACCGATCCTTATTTCTAAACAAACTTAAACAGATATAGAGCTTAATTTCTAAAGAAACAGGTATATTTCTAAAGAAACTTTAATCAGAAACTTAGCTTAATTTCTAAAGAAACTTTTCTCAGAATCTGATCTTAATTTCTAAAGAAATATTACTCGGAAACTGTGCAAATTTTCTTAAGAAACTGAGCTTAATTTATAAAGAAACTTTACTCCGAAAAGCTTTAATCCGAAAATGATCAAATTTTCTAAATAAACTACTCGGAAACTGAGCTTAATTTCTAAAGAATATTTACTCCAAAACTGAAGAAATTTTCTAAAGAAAATTTACTCCGAAACTGCGCAAAATTTTTTTAAGACATTTTACTCAGAAACTATGCTTAATATCTAAAAAATGTTTACTCAGAAACTGAGCTTAATTTCTAATGAAACTTTAATTCGAAACTAGACAAATTTATAAAGAAACTTAGCTCTGAAACTTTGTTCAGGGACTAAACATACTGGTCAAGTTTTCTAAAGAAACTTTATATAGAAACTTAGTCTATTTTCTAAAGATACTCAGAATCATATTTCCTAAAGAACACGTGCACAGACTGTGATCAAATTCTATTTTTTAATACTAATTTAAAGTTTTCAACATAAAATCATTAAAACTTATTCTTGTATTCTTAAATTTTGATTCCGTGCTTAAATTTTTAACAACAAAAAAACTCTCTAATATTAGCAAATTTTATAAATTTTTTTTTTGTTAAATTTAATTTAATAATATCCGCACAAATTTAAATTCATAAAAATAAAATGCACATTTATTTGACGATGTTAACTTTTGCACGTAGTCTTCAAACCAAGCTATGGGGTCTTCATACAAACATTTAATCCAGTATTTTTCCTCTCCTTCTCTCCCCACTTCGTTGCGTTGTCAATTTTCCATGATCTTTTGGGGAAATGTAAATAATACCGGCATTGTATGTAAAACAAAAAAAAAATTAATAAATGATTTCGAAAAAAAGTTGTTTTTTACGCTTGATTTTACAATTGTGACAATGTGTATGTATTCATACATATCTCTAGACAAATGCACGTTCTTCTTCCACTCGGGCTAGAGACGAGCTGGCTCGCTAGCTGTCTGACACCAATGACGGTCATTAATCCAGTCTCAGTTGAGTAACTGATCATGTTCATGATGTGTAGTCGAGAGGTAGAGATAGTGAGTTAGTTACACACTCTTGGGAGCATAAACCACTTAAGAGTAAGAGAACTACAGCAATTTTGAAATGCATTAGTTCAAAGTCTTTTTTAATGACTTTTCAAGTATACATTCTTTAATTGGTTTCTACATATTTTTATGGTTTTATAAAAGAAAATGAAATTCAATACTTTAATGATTGTTTTTATTTTTAGTCAAGTGTTCAAGAATGGTTCTTTATGATTGGTAAATTGTAAATTTTCTTTAATGATCGTTTACAGAAATATTCTTTATCGTTTTTT